TCCGTGGTGATGGGGCCCTCGGAACCTCCGCTCCCGTCGCCCCTCGCCCACAGCGGGAACGGTACCCTCTCCCTCACGCCCTCCCCTTCGCCCGCGCCTTCAGGACTCGGTTGGGACAGCGACGTCGTCCGGAGCTTCGGCAGGAGCTGGGACACCAAAGGAGCTCCTGTGTCTCTCGGCGTGGTCGTTGGAGGAGGACACGAAGGGGTGGTGAGGGCGGAGGAGGAGGAGCAGGCGATGGAGATGGAGGTGAGGCAAGTGCAGGAGGAAGAGAGCGTGGAAGAAGGAGAGGAGGAGGAAGAGGAGGAGGAGGAAACAGAGATTAATCAAAAAGATATGAAGACAGAACAGGAAGGGCTAGTGAAGGAAGGTAATCTCGACCAGGTTGCCTTGACACTCGGAGTAAACAAAATGGAGGTCAGTAAACAAGAGAGGGAACATGTGCGCAAGGACTCAGAACAAGGAAGAGAGATAACGAGATTAAAGGCCAGTGCAAGAATACGAGGAAAACCTGTAAATATTAAATTATCAATAAATTACGTAGGAGCTTTAGAGAGACAAAGTGAAAACACTCCAGAGCGACAAGTGACACAAAGTGATAAGAGAGAACAGAAAACGAATGAACAGAAAACGGGGAGAGAGAAAACGGAGGAACAGACAACAGAACAGAAAACGGGAAAGGAGAAAATACACTCCACAGACAATTTTAATATGGAGGAAAACGAAATGGAAATTGACATAGAGCAAGAAGTGGAGGACGAGGAAAATAAAGGGGAGAATGTGGAAGAAGTAGAATTAGACAATAAACAAAGGAAAATAATCCAAGAGAGACTAGGAGAAAGCGAAGAAAAGTGGGAAGGTGCGGAAGTGTTGTGTCAAAGCGCCGCCTTTCTAACCAACCTCGTGACAGCAGCTTCGGCACTCACTGTCGCTGTCATTGCACTTGACAGGTAAGATGTCCATTATTTTTTTGTCATCTATTCATTTATTTTTTGTTCAGGTGGTACAAAGTTTGTCGTTATCACATCGTGATTATGTGATATAAAAAACTAAAATACGAAAGGTGGATTTGTTAAATAAAAAGAAGACAAGAACCAGGTGTTTGTTTTTGCTTTGATAAAAAAATAATGGCTTGGTTTCGTATGTCATTCGGATTAAAATTCAATTATTTAAAGTAATATGAAAGGGGATTTTAGTAGAGTTATATTTCGACTAAACAAAAACAGAGCTACATGGAAAAAACGTATTACTGATCATTATTTTGCTCAATAAACCGAAAATGACTATGTTAATGACCTAGCAATGAAGGACTTTGAACAGATAGGCCTAAATATACAAAAAAAGAGTCTTGTCCGATTATATATTTGTCATTATAAATATTTTCATATAAATTTTAGTTCTAGACTTTCATAAAAAAAGAAATAGAATCAATAAGAAAATGATTAAAGAGGTAAGAAAAAAAGAAGAGAAAAAAAAAATAAAAAGAAGAAGAAAAAGGGGGTAAGAAAAAAATAAATAAAACAATGAATAAAAGCGAAACGGAAAAGAAATAATACTAATAAGAAGAAAGCGAAATTATAAAAAAGGAAATGAAGGAAGGAGAAGAAGAAGAAAGAAGAAGAAGAAGAAATTAAATAAAAAGGAAAAAACAGCCACCAAAAACAAAAGCCCTGAAGCCAGGAAATTGAAATCCCTCTCAGGCCCGCGCGGAAGACCGGCCAAGGACTCTCACAGAAGGAAGAAGCGAGACCATAACCGCCGACGCTCTTATTGAGGCCGCTGAGGCGTAAGCTTAAGGCCGTTGCCTCAATTACCACGAACTTTGATATAAATTGCGGATACTTGAATGTGTGTACGTGCGTGTGTGTTTGTGTGTGTGTGTGTGTGTGTGTGTGTGTGTGTGTGTGTGTGTGTGTGTGTGTGTGTGTGTGTGTGTGTGTGTGTGTGTGTGTGTGTGTGTGTGTGTAGAACTGCATGTATATATATATATATATATATATATATATATATATATATATATATATATATATATATATATATATATATATACATGTGTGTGTACTAAGAGAGAGAGATATAAACAGATAGATAGATATATTGTACAATAATATGAGTCAGTGGGTTATCAGGCTAGAGATTATGAATACGATGATGTATTACGAACACTATACTACTGCTACTGTTATTAATACTATAACCACTACCACTACTATTACTATTACTACTACTACTGGTATAATTACTAATAATATCGTTATTACTATTACTACTACTACTGGTATAATTACTAATAATATCGTTATTACTATTACTACTACTACTGGTATAATTACTAATAATATCGTTATTACTATTACTACTACTACTACTTCTATTACTACTACCACTACTAACTACTACTACTACTTCTATTACTACTACTACTGGTATAATTACTAATAATATCGTTATTACTATTACTACTACTACTGGTATAATTACTAATAATATCGTTATTACTATTACTACTACTACTACTTCTATTACTACTACTACTGGTATAATTACTAATAATATCGTTATTACTATTACTACTACTACTACTTCTATTATTACTACTACTACTACTTCTATTATTACTACTACTACTACTTCTATTACTACTACTACTGGTATAATTACTAATAATATCGTTATTACTATTACTACTACTACTGGTATAATTACTAATAATATCGTTATTACTATTACTACTACTACTGGTATAATTACTAATAATATCGTATATTACTACTACTACTGGTATAATTACTAATAATATCGTTATTACTATTACTACTACTGCAACTACGACTTCAAGTACGACTATGACTGCTGCTACTGATGTTAGTAGTAATATATAAATATTTTTAGTTTATCACATACATAATATTACAACTACTACACTAATACTGATGACAATGGTAATGAAAAAAAATAATTGCAAGATACATTTTGTATATATCTACAATCACTATTGCTACCACTGTTTCTTCTTTTTTTCTACTACTACTACTACTACTTCTATTACTACTACTACTACTCCTACTACTACTACTTCTATTATTACTACTACTACTACTACTACTACTACTACTACTACTACTACTACTACTACTACTACTACTTCTGTTACTACTACTACTACTACTACTACTGCTGCTACTACTGATACTACTACTACTACTACTACTACCCCTACTGCTACTATTATTACTACTCTACTATTATAACTACTACTACTACTACTACGTCTGCTTGCTACCACGACTACTACTACTACTACTACTACTACCCCTACTGCTACTACTATTACTACTCTACTATTATAACTACTACTACTACTACTACGTCCGCCTGCTACCACGACTACCACCACCACTACTACTACTGCTACTACTACCCCTACTGCTTCTACTATTAATACTCTACTATTATAACTACTACTACTACTACGTCCGCCTGCTACCACGACTACTACTACTACTACTACTACTACTACTACTACTACTACTACTACTACTACTACTACTCCTACTGCTACTACTATTACTACTCTACTATTATAACTACTACTACTACTACTACGTCCGCCTGCTACCACGACTACCACCACTACCTACTGATGTTAGTAGTAATATATAAATATTTTTAGTTTATCACATACATAATATTACAACTACTACACTAATACTGATGACAATGGTAATGAAAAAAAATAATTGCAAGATACATTTTGTATATATCTACAATCACTATTGCTACCACTGTTTCTTCTTTTTTTCTACTACTACTACTACTACTTCTATTACTACTACTACTACTCCTACTACTACTACTTCTATTACTACTACTACTACTACGTCCGTCTGCTACCACGACTACTACTACTACTACTACTACTACTACTACTACCCCTACTGCTACTACTATTACTACTCTGTAATTATAACTACTACTACTACTCCTACTCATGATGATAATAACGATTATAACATTTATTCCTCTAGGTACCTAGCTATAGTACGGCCCATGGTCTACGGCATCATGGTGACAGGCCACCGCTGTCTGCTGATGCTCGCCTGGTGCTGGGTTCAGGCCCTTCTCACGGCGCTTCCTCCTCTTTTTGGTTGGTCTAGGTGCGTGCTATTTCGTGTTCATTTGCATGTCAGGGTCCTTTGTTATTTGGGTGTATTTCATATTTATTTGTTAAGGGGTGGCGTATCTTTTATGTGGTCTTTGTGGCCTATAGACGGTGATAGTGAAAAATACTTTAGTTACTCCTAATAAAATGGCATAATAACGTTTTCTTTGCATCGATTATCATTTCATAGAAAACGAGTAAAGAGGGGTAACCACTATATATGTTCATATTTCTACGATTAGGTACGAACGCCACGGCCCAGAGGGACGATGTGGAGTGCAATGGGCCCGTTCCCCTTCGTATACAGCTGTCTGGGTCACCAGCGTGTTCGTCGTGCCCGTGATTGTCATGCTTGTGTGTTATTACTTCATCCTTCAGGTTAGTTTCTCTGTATTTCTGTCTTTGGTTGAGTCAGTAATGCTTTTTATGATGATTTTTTCTTTGATTTTCACATTTTTTCATGTTCATGTAAAAGACAATGATAATAATAATGATAACAATAATAATGATAGTAATAATGACAATACCAATAATAGTAACAAAAACATCGCCAACAACAACAGCGCAACCTTCTGGCAACACTAACCCCCCTCCCCCCCAGGTGGCGCGAAACAAGTGCCGGCGCATCCACGTGGGGACGATGATCGGTGCCGCCGCCGCCGCCACCTCCCCCCCCGTGACCCCCGACCCCTCCTCCGTGTGCCTCGAGGTCCCCCACCTGGCGGAGGTCAAGCGGCCTTCCTCCTACGAGAATAACGGCGCGGCAGGAGGTCCCAGGGGCTTCGATGACCTTTTGGACGCTCCTGGTCGAGGGGGAGGAAGAGGCGGTGTTGGTGGAGGTGGAGGGGTTGGAGGAGGAGGGGTAGGGGTGGGCGTCCCCTGCAGGAGCTTGAGCGTGAGCGTTGTCAATAAGGTGAGTCGGATATTTTTTTTTTTTCGTTGGTATTGTAGTTGTATTTTCTTCGTCTTCCCTTTTCTTTTATTACGTATCGTGATCCCTCCCTATTTTTTTCTCTCTCTTCGTGTCTTTATTTTTCGTAAGTTGGTTTGGATTTACAGCCTTATTGCATTTTCCCCTTGTATGCTTTCTCTCCTTCCCTCCCTTTTTCACTCTCTCTTCTCGTTCATCTCCTACTTTTTCGCTTTATCTACTCCCTCTCTCTTTCGCTCACCTACAGCGTCTCTAGCTATGTCTTTCCATCTCTCTGTCTCTCTCTTTCTCTGTCTTTGTCTCTCTCTTTCTCTTTCTCTGTCTCTCTCTTTCTCTGTCTCTGCCTCTGTCTTTCTCTTTCTCTGTCTCTGTCTCTCTCTTTCTCTGTCTCTGCCTCTGTCTTTCTCTTTCTCTTTCTCTGTCTCTCTCTTTCTCTCTCTCATTTTCCTGTACATTACACCCACATTGCATGCTGATCCCAAATCAAATCCTTATTAAGTAAACTGATTTATTCCCCTTATAGTAAATAGGTTGTATCCCCCCCCCTCCCACCTTACTTACATCCTTTTTTGCATACGAATCCTCCTCCCCCCCTCCGATTACATGAATGAACAGCCCGAAATGCCATCCCCCTCTCTCTGTTTTCTTTAATTTCCTCATTTCTTTTGTTTTCTCTTACGTACGTGCCATGTCTCTGTTTCCACACGAGCCACCTGAAACCGAACGGCCCTTTTTTTGCTTCCCTGTGTTCCAGATTGCCAACGACACCAGTCCTTCCTCTGCGGCGCCGAAACGCAAACTGGGCGACTGTGGGAGGTCCCTCTCCTTTTGTCAGGTATGTAGTGCCCTCTGGTGGGAGGAAAGAGAGTCTTGATTAAAAGGAGGAAGGAAGGTGGATAGAGATGGTAAAAGATGGAAGATAGAAGGAATTGGATAGGTGGGTAGGATGATATTGAAAAAAGGTATACAGTCAACAGGTATCATGATGCAGGGAAAATAATAATTTTAATGTTTTTACTCACTTTATCTGTTCAGATATATTATATTCTTTCAAACACGCACACACACACACACACACACACACACGTTCACACACATACACACACACACACACACACACACACACACACACACACACACACACACACAAACACACAAACACACACACATACAAACAAACAAACCCCCTCCTCACACAATCAAACAAAACAAACACCATACATATATATCCACTAACTAAAAAAACAAAAACAAAAAAAAAAACAAGAACGAAAATACGAAAAAAAGATCATATCTGTTCTAATTCCTTCTCCTTGGTTTCAGCCTCAGCAGCCCGTGAAGCCGGTTCTGCGACGCGTCCAGAGCACCCTCGCCATGAGGCCGTCTTTTAGGAAGAAGTTCAGTCTCGGTCGCCGGAAACCCTCGTGGAGTTGGGAAGCCTCGCCTGCCAAGGGCTTCAGGTGAGGAGAAGTGCGATGCCCTTTGTGTCTAGTTGTCTGATTCTCTAGCTCGCTGTTCTTGCATGTCTGTTTTTCTGTCTGTTTTTCTTTCTATGTTGTCTGTCTGTTTGTGTGTTTCTCTCTCTATTTGTCTCTCTGTTTCTATCTGTCTTTTTGTGAACCGTTTTCATTACGACAAATGTAGAAATGAGAATGGAGATACATGTTGATAATACAAAATACAAGAGATGTATTTAAAATGTTTCGAATGTATCTTCGTCAGATATACATGTATTTCTGACGAAGATTTATTCGAAACCTTTTAAATGCATTTGTGAAGATATACCTCCCCATTCATACCTTTTCTATATCTGTTTCTCTCTCTCTCTCTCTCTCTCTCTCTCTCTCTCTCTCTCTCTCTCTCTCTCTCTCTCTCTCTCTCTCTCTCTCTCTCTCGCTCGCTCTGCTTTTCCTCTCTTTTGTTGTCTACTTTACCTAATTATTCCGTTTACAATCCCCCCTCCACACACACACATATGTATGTGTGTGTTTGTGCATATATATATATATATATATATATATATATATATATATATATATATATATATATATATTGTCAGGATTTTTCTGACCTGTGTACTATGTGTGCGTCTACAGGACCGTGTGCGTGGTGGTGGGCGCGCATGTGTTCACGTGGGCGCCCTACTCGCTAATGGCCGTGGCGGAGGCGGTTCTTGGCGTCGAAAGAGTGTCTATTTTACCTCACTGGATTAGGGTAAGCATTTTTTAATCCCCTTTTAGGCTGTATACTTGGTTTTCAGTTTTTTGTTATTATTGAAGTATTTCTATTATATGTTTTATTCCTAAATATTGTGGGTTTGGCTATTGGTTTATATTTTTTATATCATCGCTTACATATCAAAAGTTCATCATACTGTCATTTTTAAGTTGCATTCAGACTTAAGAAGTACTGATACAAATATACCGCCAACATAATCATTACGATAAAAAACAAGGGTTGTCAACATACACAATGAGAAACTAGAAAACAACAACAGCAAGAAACACACACAGCATTATAACAAACACCAAAACAAACAAACAAACAAAAAGAAAATAAAAAAAACACAGATAAACAAACAGATAAACAAACAAACAAAAAGCACAAACAGATAAACAAACAACAAAAACAAACAAACAAACAACAAAAAAACACACAAACAAAAACAACAACAACTCCCCCAAAATACAGCTCCCCGTCCCACCCCCCAGGTTACCTCGACCTTACTCCTGTTCACGGCGAGCGTGTTCTACCCCATCGTCTACGGGCTCTACAACCGCTCTATAAGGAAGGAGGTCGTGACCTGCCTTTGCCCCAGCAGCAGCAGAGCCCGGCGCAGGGGCAGCCTCAACCCCAGGCCCTCGACGCTTAACTCGTTCACTGGTAAATTTGTGGTAGAGGGGAAGGGGGGGAAGAAAGTGGCAGAGAGGGAGAGAGAGGGAAAGAGAGAAAGAGAGAGAAAGAGAGAGAAAGAGAGAGAAAAGAGAGAGAGAGATGGAGAGTAAGAGAGAGAGAGAGATGGAGAGTAAGAGAGAGAGAGATGGAGAGTAAGAGAGAGAGAGATGGAGAGTAAGAGAGAGAGAGATGGAGAGTAAGAGAGAGAGAGAGATGGAGAGTAAGAGAGAGAGAGATGGAGAGTAAGAGAGAGAGAGATGGAGAGTAAGAGAGAGAGAGAGATGGAGAGTAAGAGAGAGAAAGATGGAGAGTAAGAGAGAGAGAGAGATGGAGAGTAAGAGAGAGAGAGAGGGAGAGTAAGAGAGAGAGAGATGGAGAGTAAGAGAGAGAGAGAGATGGAGAGTAAGAGAGAGAGAGAGGGAGAGAGAGAGAGAGAGAGAGATAGATAGATAGATAGATAGATAGATAGATAGAGAGAGAGAGAGAGAGAGAGAGAGAGAGAGAGAGAGACATGGAGATAGAGATAGATAGATTGATTAATGAATACATAGAGACAGACAGACAGGCAAACAGCCACATAGATAAAGACCGAGATAAAGACAGACAGAAAACAAAAGCAAAGCAAAATCAAAACAAACAGGAAGCGCATCTCACCCCCTCCCCCCCTCTTGCAGAAGGCAGCGTCCTGGATTTCTCCTCCTTACGTCACCGCGACATCCTGGAGAAGCCCCTGACCCCATGCCCCAACCCCGGCCTCCTGACGGCGCCCATCCCCACCATCTCAGGCTCTATGGGCATGGGTGGGCACGCGCCGCCCCACCTGCCGCCCATCTTCCTCATGACGGATTATGATCACATACCCACGCGCGGGTATAACCTCAATGCTAGGAAGCCTTCGCAGGACTCGGGTGAGTGTGGGTATTTTGGTGTGGGTATTGTAGGGTGGCCATTTGGTGTGGGTATTTGAGGTAGATATTTGAGTTTTTAATGAGGGTATTTGGTGTGGGTATTTTGGTGTGGGTATTTGAGGTAGATATTTGGAATGGGTTGTTAATGAGGGCATTTGGTGTGGGTATTTTGGTGTGGGTATTTTGGTGTGGGTATTTGGTGTGGGTATTTTGGTGTGGGTATTTGAGGTAGATATTTTTTTCGCTTGAGTCGATTATTTGACTTTGGATCATTTATGATTTTTTTTCAGATTAAAATAAAAAAGTGAAACACACACTACTGTGTTGGTGTTTTTGTTCAGATTTTCGAAACACTATTTACCACAGCTATGTTTCTTTTTTGGGTTTGCAATTGGGTATCTTGCGTTTTTAAAAATAAAATATACATTATATTATATTTCGCAGGATTTGTTCATTATGGCAACAACTCAGCGGAAACTACTGTAGTTAGGTTTGCTGTTTAGAAATGTATTTTTTGTCGTCCAAGAGAAATGTTGTATTTTGTATAGATACATATACAAACAAAAGAAAAAGAATAATAATAAAAAATAGAGAAAGAGAGAGATAGAAAAAAGAGAGATCCTCTGATATCTATTTTCCGATATTTTCTCTTTTCTTCCATGAGGAACTGTCGAACATGATTTCATTCAAAGGATATATCATTTTTTTTTTTTTTTTTTTTTTTGAAGAGAGCGGAGAAGAAAAGAAAAAAATAATAATGGAAAGGTGAAAGACCAACGCCAAGATTATTGATGAGGCAAACAGGCTATTTCCTTGGTTCACGCAGGAGGAAAATAGAGGGATTTCCTGTTCCTCCTTACTCCTTCTTTCTTTTCCTCGATGTTAATCTCTTCCTTCTTCCTCGTCTTTGCTTCCCACCCCTCATCTTCTCTTCATTTTTCTTTCCTTCTCTTGTCCCTTTGTCTGCTTCCTTCTCCTTCCTCCTTTGTTTTTGTCCTCTTCCTGTTTCTTCTTTTTCCTCCTCCTCCTCCCACTATCTCCTTCTGCTTCCTCTGTTCCTTTCTCCTCCTCCTCCTCCTACTCCTTCCATTTCCTCCACCCCCTCTTCTCCCATCTCCCCCATTCTCTTCCTCCTCCCATTCCCCTTTCACCTCCTCCTTTCCCTCCCCCTCTTCCTCTTATTCTTCCTTCCTCCTGAACGAAAACGGATAAAAAAGAAGAAATAAAGAAAAGAAAAGAGAAAAAAGATCCCCAATTCTTTTGTGTCTCTTCTCTCGTGTCCCTCTGACCGGCTTTGAGAACCCAGCGTCTTCTTGCAGATTGCTGTCTCTTCGAATTTTCCTCGTCACTTGCTAGGGAAGCCGGACAGACAGGTAGGTCAGGTGTGGTCCCCCCCTCCCCCCTCCCCCCCTCCCCATTCAACTTCTTACCCTCCCCTCCCCCCCGCCCGCTCCCCTTAGAGTGTTAATGGTGTTAGATCGGTGTTGTTCACTTAACCTTGGTGTGTGGGTTGGTGTTGTTTCATCATAATTAGTTGTGAG